CCCTCCCCACCTGCATCAGGGACAGCACGTGGGTGTAATCTCAGAGTTGCTCTGTTATCTCATAACTCAACAGCGTAAGATTTTTCTTCAATTATGAGCTACAAAAATGTTCTCCCAGGAGAGATTTCAAGCATTAGCTAGTAAGTGGGGGAAGATTTGTTTGCTTTTATCGGACATTTTTGTTTGCTTTACTTTGTTGATAGGCATGGTTGGTGGGAAGGTAAGGAAGATTTGGATTAATTCCAGAAATGCCTTCCTAGCCTTGTGCCAGCGTATGTGCGCGTGTGTGTGCGTGTGTGTGCGTGTGTTCAGACCCAGCTCACTCCCGGGTGGGGAGCCCTGAGGAAGCCCTTGGAGGCTGAGTCAAGGAACACTTTGCCCATCGATGACGCCACTTTTGCTTCAGTAGTTAGCACTGAGCGCGCCACAGAGAACAAGTTCTTTTGTGCTCTGCATAGTCTTCCTGCCCTATATCTTAGGGTATTTTTTTTTTCTTCACAACTTGGGAAGTAGGTTTGCCACTTGTGTATTTCAATTCAAGAAAGCTGCTGTTTTACCAGAAGCTGGGCATTGTTAGTGTGAAACCCAGGGATCGTGGCAGTGTGGCCATGTGGCCCCAAGGGTCATATGGTGGGAAGGGACCTACTTGCTTGTCCATTGATGCTCCAGAAACTAACCTGTCCCCAGGCACAAATAAAGTCCAGTCTCAGTTGCTAGATGTGAATAGGAGATGATTCTGGAAAAGTGTTAGTGCCCTCAATGAAAAGAAAAAAATCTCAAAGCTCTTTTCAAATGGTTTTCATGCTTGCCATGTCATCCATTACCAAGTTCATGGTTCCATGCCCACGCGAACTGCATGCTCAGAAAATAATGCTCCTTCTTACATGTGGACACTCGAAACTGCCCAATTTGTTTTTAATGTTTCTTCTTTATATTCACTTAAACATCTGTGCCAAGAACTTGAAATGCTGCCAACATGTAACTGTGGGGTTAAGAAAACCAGAACCCTGTTGTCATAAACGTGCCAAATGGTGCTGGTTGCACTACTAAATTCTACAGAACCATTGTGGCAATAATTTTTCAAAACAAAGCCCGATAAGATCCAGAGTATAACAGTTACTGTCATAAATCATAGTTCTTTACTTGGCAAAGCATGTCTTTCTTTCTTGAGAGTTATATATCTTGGGAACACTTGTGGACTTGGCTGTTTAATGAAACATTACATGAAAAGATAACATTCACTAGGAGCACAAGTCTGCCTAGCTGGTGTCCACACAGTTGGATCAAGGCTTCGTGCAGCTGTTTGTAGGGCAAAGACAAGGCTGAAAAAATCGTTTTCTGAGTGTTCCTTAAAATAAAAGCTCTGTTCAGAAATGATGCATTCAATTCCCCACCATAAGGAAATACATAGAATAAATGGTTCCATGAGAGTTTATGGGCACATTTCTAGATTTCTTTTCCCCCTTTGGGAGTCAGGAAACCAATATAGGACTCATTCATTTATTTAATCCTGGGGGGGAAGGGGGGGTAGGAGGAGACTGTAGAGTTTTTAAAAGGAGTTCATGGGGAAAAGGCCAGACCAGAGAAATGAAAGTAATGTAAAGCCAGGCCTTCAGGGTAATCTGACATAGAAAGGAAGGCTGTACCAGAGGACGGCAGCTAAAAAACTTAATGACTAGCAGAGAGATTACATAGTGTGATCACTGGACCATTCAGAAGACCCTTCATTTTCCTGTAGGAGACCATAGAGTTCTTTGTCCATAACGTGTCCATCACCAACCTCTGGCCAGGAGGAATCAGATCATTCTGGACTCCGGCTACCTCTTCAGAGTCCACTTACAGGTACATAGCAGCTGCGAGAAATGTTTCAGTACCCAGGGGTGAGCCTCCCATCACATTCTTTTCCGAGCTTCAAGTTCTCAGAACCTCAAGTCCATTGGTTCAAAGTGCTGCTGGGGGCTGCTCCTTAAATGAGAAGTGATTCTGATCTCAATACAGCCTTAGTCATGTCATTTAAGCAAAAAAAATTTTTTTTAAATAGCAAGATTTCAAAAAGTTATTTTTAACCTGATTTATGCAAACACTCTCTCTGCCCAGCTTCACAGAATACTATAAACTAACAAACCCTCTCCTAGTTCACTCTTTCTTCCAGGTTTAAAAGTAATGAACCCAAGTTGGCCAGGTACACATTTCCTTCTCTCTGAATTTAAGATAGAAGCTTTTCTTTAACATAAATGTGAATGTAGTCGCCTTGTAGTTTGTCCCTCACCCCAACAAGAAGAGAGAGGAAGTGATAGGTAAGTGCCAACGAGTGATTTGGGGCAGAAATTCTTCAGTGTGCTAACTAAAGGGGGGTGTCCTCATGGAATCGTGATGACACTTCCCCTCTCCCTAAGTACCTGGAGGACTCACTTGCGGATGATGGCAACCAGCTGTCCTATGCTGCTGGTGCGAGGCAGAGCAAAGGAAATGAAATGAAGCCATAGCAGAAGGGGCTTTGGTTTAAATCACAAACACTAACACCTATCTTTAGGGTTTGTAACACAACGGGTTCCTTTCCATGGGAGAGAAGAAGGAGGGCTCCTTCCTGGGAGGCCTTAGAGAGGACTCAGGTTGTTTAGAAGCACAAGATGTACAAGATGCTCTGGCAAACCCTCCCTAGGTCTATAATTCAACAATTTCTATCAACCTTATAAATGACCATGCACCTGGGGACAAGAAAGATATAAGCTTTGGCAGAGAGTTTTCCTTAAATTCTGACTCTGCCAAGAAACTATATATAAAACTATACTGTGTGTATGTTTGTGTGTGTGTGTAATATATATATATGAAACACAGATCTAGAGAGCATGTCTAATTCTGAGGAAGAGTCCATGACACCATGAAATGAACTGTGCTGTATATTTTGTAAAATATTTAAAAATTTATTGCAGGCCTGGCCGGTGTGGCTCAGTTGGTTGGAACACCGTCCCATGCACCAAAAGGTTGCTGGTTTGATTCCTAGTCGGGGCACAGACCCAGGTTACAGGTTTAATCACCTGATCGGGGCATGTGCAGTTGGCAGCTGATCAATGTTTCCCTCTCACATCAATGTTTCTCTCTCTCTCCCTTCCTCTCTCTAAATATCAATTAAATTCTTATTTTATTTTATTTATTCCATATTTGAGGTCTTCCCAAGGATCTTGAAATGGGGCTTGGTGTCACTGTCACCTGGCATCTGGCACTCTGCAGAGCAACCTCCAGGCTTGCAGCCTTTCAGTGAGGTAACTCCAAGGGAAGGGAAGGGAAGGGAAGGGAAGGGAAGACCCGGCCCCATAAGGGCCGCAGCGCTCTGGGGAGATGGAAACTGAGCCACAGGGGACTGGGGACGAGCCTTAGCCGGCTCCGTCTGTGGTTTCAGTAAACTGAGAGCTGGACATCAGGGCAGGGAGAGCAATTTTCAGCAAGACAAA